CCTCATCGGCTAGCTAATGCTAGCCTATCCCTTTACCTCACACAAAGTTCTATAATATTAATTAATGCTAACATGCAACCATTAAAAATAAAAATCTTGACCATAATTGGCCACAGATTCATACTGTAGCTTGGTATCTTTACTTTGCAGCTACTATCTATTTCACTCTGTTCATGACGTATTTTGAATGAGGACTAATTCTGTTTGAATGAGCTTTTAGCCAAATCCTATCACAACTTCAGTGGTTGCTGACCAATGTTACATTACAGAATGAGTATCACCAGAGGACCCCCCCCCAAGGGCTGATATGACTGGTTTACAACTTATGTGTCTGATATGATAGCAGGGCATTCATCAGCAGCAGCGCCTCCCTCAGTTCGTGTCCGGCTACAGTAGTATAGTGTGAATTTGGAGACACAAAGGCATTGTTGAATAATGTACAATGAATGAGAAAAACTACTGATGATTTAGTATTAGTAATAGTAATGAATAACAGGGTGAGGGAGGGGGCTAACTGCATGGAATAGGCTACAGCCTGATGTAATGACACTGTGTCATTAGCACATGGAGTGGTCATAATGTTTTCACACACACACACACACACAAACACAGTTTGAAGTGCACCCACATGGAGGAATATAATTGTCTTTCCCACTTTTGACATTACACACAGTTTTTGCGACGTTAAATGGTTGTCAAAAAAGCATAGAACTTAAAGTAACATTTCCATGCTGGGAGTGGTAAAAACTGGAAAATCTATCTGCATCATATATTAATATCATATCGATATGCCATTTTCTGAGTCCTGATGAAGGCCTAAGTAGGCTACACTGCGTCAGCATCCATTCATACATATTGCCATGTTTTAATAAAGGCTTTTTATTCATCATTTTTCTTAAGACTGTGTGCCTGGGAATTTCTTTGCTCTGCGATTTATTTTGCATGTGCCTTGTGGATGCAGATTTTCTAGTGTTCACCACTCCCAGCATGGAATTGTTACTGACTTTGCTGCACCCACGCCCCAGGAGCACCTGTCTTTTTCCTTCATTTTTGTGACCCCTGAAGCGCTTCTTCATTTCTGTTTTTTCAAAGTATATGGCATAGATTATTGATAAGAATTTCAATTATATCATAATGCACTGCCATTACAAACTAAAATAAAGGGTGTCTGTGAAAGTGAAAACACACCACATATGTACAGCTGTGTCAATACAAAGACTCAACAGCAGGTGGCCTAACAGCTTCTTTTCATTTCACCAACATTACATAATCATTGTCTATCTCCACTACAAAGGGTCCACATATGTAATTCCTGTTAATAGTATTGTTTGATTGTTTTAATATTGACATATAAAGCATTAGACATAATTAGAATATGGTAACTTTGGTTTCCTAGTTTTATGTATAACATACACAGCTACTAGCATTTCTATAATTATATTAATAAAATTACAATTTCATTGGTAAATCGCTTATTTAACATTTTTTCCTTAAGTAGAATTAGCATGTCTGTTATTTTTAGCCAGTTTACCCTTTAAACCCACCTAGAAAATAGCTGGTAATATTTATATTAAAACTCAGAAGTTATGGTTGGAATATGGTGGTTTAACTAACATGTAACTAGAATATCCTCATTTTAGTTTTTGGATATTTATTTTTCAGTAACAGCCCAAACTGTTCATGCTTTTGGTCATGTGACTTCAGACTTTAGCTGCTAGCTCAGAAAAGCTATCTCTATCTAACTGATTCACTCATTAACATCTATATTTTGTCAGTATTATTAACAGTATCTGTGTTTGTCACACACTCTGAATTTTTTTTCTTTCCAGAATTACATATTAAAGCAAAGTGTTCATGGAGACTTTGACCTGTGTTCAGGACAGTCCCTCCACATTCACACAAATGTCTCAAACTAACTGAATGATTTATGCTCAAAACACACAGTAACAAAGACGATGTACGTTTACTGGACAGGATGCCCAATCTTATTTAAGTACACTAATTTTTTATATCTCAAATATTTAAATTATAAATTAGGTTGAGAGAGCAGGTAGCAGCTCTATGGCATCATTATACCAGCTTTCATAGATGATCCTCCTGCTCTGGAGAGCAGCAGGTTGTCCAGGTGTAATGCATTATCCAGATTTGACTCACCGGGTTTGTGTAAAACAGAGCAGATGAGAGGTGAAAGGCTTTATTCTTCTTGTTCAGTAATTACAGGTTATCCGGTTTGTTAGACCCAGACTGAGGATTAGCACAGACAATTCCTCGGGAGAGTGAACATAGTCCTGTGCTTTAAAAGAAAAACAATGTTTTCCCTTCCTTATGTGCTTTACTGCCTGGGACAGAACAGCAGGCCTCTGATAATGATTTCCAACTAATCTGAAAAACATCTGAAGCCAATATGGTGTAGTGTTGTTTATCATTATTATTATTTTTATTATTATTATTATTATTATCATTACTATTATTAGTCCCATGTGCTAGCCATAGCGGTCTCTTGCAACAGAGACCTATTTGATGCGGTTTGGTTGGACTATGTTTTAAAAATTTGTCTGAAGTCTTGTAGTCTGGGGAAAAAGGAATTTTCAGACTTAACAAAATACAAAATGGTACACTACATCACCACCATCAGGCCACTCTGAATAACTTCTTGAGTTAAATGTAAACTTAAACCTTTGATAACAAAAAGACGAAAGATGGGAAAAAAGGGATTTAAACAACCGTATATGTAATTTGATGCCTGACAGGATGAAGTCTGAAAACTTCAGCTCAGACGCTACAGAACAGGGGTGCCCAAACTTCTTGTCTTGGGGGCCAAAGTGCTGTACAAATAAAGAAGGTAGGGAGATTTCAAATCAATTTTTTAAAAATGCATTTTTATAATTTTACACTGTATATGATAACAAAATACATTTGAAATTTTAAAATGATTTTTTAAAGGAAAACAAAAATTGAATATGTTTTATGTAGTATATAAATACTGTCACTGTGCAAAAAAAACATGCATCTCCTTTTTTTTTGCATCTTTTACGTACAGTGACTGTTCTTTACATTGTATTGAAATTTTATGATGACCAATAGACACTTAATTACTTGCAAATTACTTGTACAAACCTCTCATTATACTGATTTACATAAAAAGTAAAGAATGTTTTTGCTTTTTCGTTGCCATTTGGAGATGTTTTTTTCTAGACAGGGACAATAAAATTGCTCTGTCATTGGGTGATGGACGGGCCCTGCTATAGAAAGATTATCATTAGTAAAATCCAAATTATAATTGTAGAAAAAAAAAAATGTTTATCTACTCTCTCTCTCTCTCTATATATATATATATAGAGAGAGAGAGAGAGAGAGAGAGAGAAAGAGAGAGAGAGTAGATAAACAGTAGATAGATAGATGCATCGCGATGCGGTCGTGAACGATTCTGAATCGATTAAGAAATGTCAAAAATCGATTTTCTAAATATTTAATTTATAATGTAATGTTGACAGAACGCAAAAGGCGGAACTTGCAAGTGCAGAAGTGCAGCACCCGGACAGTCTGTGGCGGCACATAATAAAAACACAACTGGATGAGCGAGAAATCCGACCGGCTCCCTCTGAATTAAAGCCAGGTTAGATCAGGAGTCACAACCCAAATGATAAGAAGAGCCATTTTGACCTTTCAACAAAAATCAAACCACCTTGGGAGCCACAACATTTAATGTCCAGTATGTGTCAGTATGTGATAATGTCCTAGTTAAACAATATACTATAGGTTAAACAATATAAACGAAAGCGCACTTACTTTGCTCTGCTTTAAGCTTTAGCTACAGCCGCTTTCCTCCCCTTTCCTTCAGGAAACTTTTATTCACAACTAGATCAGTTTCTTGTAAAATGTCTCTCAACGTTCGACTGTTTTCCAAGGCTGAAGTCGCTTCTTATTCTCCAGCTTCTTGTTCGAACTTTCCGGTTCCACCTTAAATTCTAACTGAGGCGCCGAATGTAAATGTGACACCATTTAAGGTAGAACGGGAAAATTCGAAAGAGAAGCGACTTCAGCTTCGCAACTTTTTAGAGAGAGATAGTCTCTCGTTGCAGATTTAACGTACAAGGAAACCAACTGCAGTGCTTATAAATGCGAATAACGCATCGCTGCTGGGTGACCTGCAGTCTGCACGGTAATTCTCAGTCGTTGCGAAACAGGGCTTTTGCACTATGTTGCACACGACCCGTCTTGAAGATACTTTACTGACACAGCGATTCCCCTGCCCCACTCTCTACAACGAGACCAAAACCGAAGTTATAAAATCACTAAAGAAAACGGGTAGAATAGCTGTAACATGTGCTGCGTGGACATCCATCACCACTGGATCTTATTTCACCGCAACTGCGCATTTTATCACAGATGAGTGGCAGCAGCGTCTCCTGTGCTCCAATCAAGAGCACTGAATGAGAGCCTTCCAGTTCACTTGCCACATCACTTCCATTTGATTTATTAATAAGAGATATTGGAAGTAAATTCATTATTGATCATTACAAATACTTTGGTTTAAAAGTACCAAGTCACTTTAAATAACAACACTGAGTTACTTAGTCACTTTAAAATGTATATTGTCTCTATATTCTGTGTATATTTTGTGTATATCTAATATATTTCAGTTGGTTTTTCTTGTATTTTTATTTTTACTTATTTACTTTCTGTAGTGATTAGCTGAGCCTCACCACAAGCATTTCAAAGCATAAATGTCCTGACAAGTTGTGCAAGTGACAAATAAACTTGAAACTTGAGCTCGAAACTTGAGCTCACACAGTGAGAAAATATAAACGCTATATAGAAAAAAAAGATGCATCAGATGCATCGATAATCGTTTTATAATCGCACCGCAGCCCTCTGAATCGTAATCGAATCGAATCGTGAGGGGCCTAGAGATTCCCACCCCTACTATACAATATATATACTTTACTTAGAATCTGATGTCATTGGTCAGTGCAGCGTTAACATGCAGTCTTACTTACAATGGATTCAAGCCTGCTTCCCCAAAACAGAACGTGAACCACTCACAAGCTCAGGTTCCAATCCTCCTGTGGTCACTTTCATCACAGTTTTAACCAGATGAGTTTCTGCAGCTCCATCACTGCAAATTCTTCCTAACAATAGAAAATGACAATAATTAAACATAAGCAAGACTGGCAAAGGGATAACATTGTCTCAGAGACAGAGAACAGTTAACAGAGATCAAGGTTAGGTAAATTTGTAAGCTGCATTACCAAATTGGCCAGACCATGTATTTTAAAGGGGATTTTTCAAGATGTTTCAAGATCTCTGCATAATTCTGTTATTGAGAAGTCAAGAAAGTCATCTAGAGTGGTCTGATATGAAACGGTTCACTGTAGAGAAACTGACTTAGATTTTCTTTACAGTTATGTTGATAGGAACCAGTGCTCATGGGGCCAGATTTACTTAAAGAGGTGCTAATTACCACCTATTAACCGACACTTTGTGCAGGTGGGGCTGGCTAATTTAGTGGACTAACTACTAATCAATTCCAGGCAAATTAACACAGGCACAACGTCATAATTAACATATGAGCAGCGCAGTATAACCACAGGTTTCCCTCCAGTGCTTTTTATATGGAAGCTTGTTCCCACCAAGCAGGAGACATTTTTATTCTCTGACTACGGTTCAAACTATAACTCTTTACACTAAAGCAAGACATTGACTTAGTAGGTCAAAATAATGACTAATAACTAAACAATTTATGACTCTTTGAGAAAATCCATGAGTATTTAAACATAATGCTGTTAGTTTGAGAAAATAAGATATTATTTTAACATAATAAAAATAAGACAAAAAGTAATTATTTTGACTACATTTAGAATTTGTGTGATATTGTAAAATCATTGTGTAATTTCACTGAAAGCTTCCTGCTTAATGGGGAACTGTATGATTCACACTTGTGGTCAGTGTGTCCTCTTATCTCTGTGCAGTGAATTAAACAACGTCTGTGTAATTTTTTTAACAGAAGCTACAATATGTACAAAGTAATGAGGAGCCAGTAATGCAGGGACTGCAGAGACCAAGCGTTCAATTATAGTTTGGGAAAGAAAAAGGTCAAATCATTATTTAGAAACCAAACCAAAACCTGCTCTTACTATCACCAAAGACACTTTGATGAGTGTAAAAAACACCCAGTTTCAGGAAGCACCAGTTAGAAACACTGTTTTACTAGATCAATTTGGAATTAATGAATAAATGTGTGCAATAAAATCTCTCTTTTCTCTCTCAGCAACAACAATGGCAGCAACATTAGCACCAAAAATAAGACAAGCTTTTCAAAGGCATTAAACAACACAGTCAATGTTTACTATCAGCCTTAGTATCAGAATTAGTGCTTCATTATTATAATCTCCTCCCAGTATTTTGTCCTCCGAGAGGGAACCTCCTAGGCAATATAGAAAGAAACAAAAGTGCTCAAGAGCAGCGAACGTCTCTTTCATCTACTCATATGTACTAAAAAGGGTTGGCAACAGCACAAAACATTAGTAAATCTGCCCCATGATGTCTACAACACAGATATAGCCAATTTTTATGATCCCAAACAATCAGTGAACCTACACTTTTTTTTGGGCAGTATTTCTGACTTATAACACATTTTAAAAGTACATTTTAGGCCAAAAACTTGTAAAACAGTGTCTCAGGCATCATGCCATGTATTCATAATTATTCAGTGTAATGAATGTAATGTACATATCTCTTCCTTATTCATTTTTATGTTTGTTTCTTTTGTTTACACAAAATCCCTCTGATATACACATGAAAATGATGGATCTACAAAGCTAGATGTTTCACGGGGTGCGACACTATTTAAGAGCTGCTGGAACCGACGAGTGATCCAAACACAGTTTGGAACAGTAGATGGTGCAAATCAATGTATTCACAGATTTCACTGAACTGATTTAAAGCATTTCCTTTTTTCCATTCCATTCCATTCCCATTCTATGTGTGCAGTCACAGATACAGTGACTCACTGCCTCTGTAACGGTTTTCTAGACACACAAAGCGCTTTACATATAATGGATGAAATGCACGCTTCAGGCACCACCACTGTCTAGCACCCACTAGGATGATGCAACTACAGCTCGTGCTCTAGTATGCTCACCCCGCACCGCTGTTCATTGAGGAGGTGAGGAGAGAGAATTAGCCATTTGGAGATGGGAGATTAGCCCTGAGAGGTCATTATCAATGAGGACAAGAGTGGAAAATTCCAACACCAGAGTCAACATGCTTTTATCTCAGTGGAAAGCTTCTCAAGCTCCAAAGTGACCGTTCATTAAAAGGGCCCATGTTCCATTTTCTTTTTCCCCCTGAACTCCACTTATGACATTTGTGTGTTTTATATACCAAAAACAGTCATAATTCACTTTTACATCATACACACATACATATGGCATCACTTTTCATCTTTTAAAATTAAACAGGCTGTTCTTGTTCGTTTGATGCTGTGACTTTAAGACTGCTGTAATTGGCTGTCCTGTATTGGGCCTCATTCATAAAGCTGTCCAAGCTGCAACACTGCTTAAAACCTCAATGTGAACGGGTGGGGCTAAACTGCTGTAGGATGAACTGCCAGGTATACATATATAAATGTTTTGCTATTTGTAACAGAAATTCCTAAAGGGATATTTTTTCAGCTTTACATCTAAACATGGAAACCTAAATAAGTGAGTTTTCAATTGTACGGGCTGTTTAAATTTATGATAAATGTCCATAAATCATTAATATACAGGATTATGCAACAGTCTTTGGCACCTAAGCAAATTGTTTAAAACCATTTATCAGAGCAATATGTTTGTGTATGTTTGTAAAAGCATCATATTTCATTCAATTAAACATAAATGCAAAAAAAGCAACAAGAATTTATTATGTAAAAAAGAGTAGTTGATACCTTGAGCTAGTCGTGAGCTAGTTTAGTTCCAGATTTCCCCTGGATGCTCCCAGCTATCACATAGATTTATTAAATTTATTCTAATATTAGTGTTTTTTTGATCAAATAGATACTGCCCACATAAACTGCTTTTTAATTCCAGTTTTCTCAGGTGCCTAAAATCTTTGCACAGCACTGTAGATTGTACATTATGCCTTTTCAACATATTCCATCATATTTTTACCTGTATAAGCTTAATAAGCTAAATATAGTATTTAAAGTGTTTGAAAATTAAGATTAAGAATTCCCTCTACTGTACTTGTGGGATTCACCACAGGGAACCTCATTACAGCAAACCAATAATGCACCACACACAGACTTCCTAATAAATGTTAACTGTCACTCATTATTAATTACAAAGAGTTTCCAGATGCCCTGCGGAAACAGTTACTCCACATCACATCTACTGAAAATCAGTTCATATTTTTGTAATACATACATTTAATGTGCAGATAGATGTCTGACATTGTGTTTATAATCATTCTGGCCAATTAAAATTATGACCAATCCATTTACTAACAGGAGCAGAAAACTGTATCTATCAAGCATGTATAGTTCTACTATAAATGCTTGAAAAGGCATCTGTTATGAGGTTTATATTAGGGCTGCACTGATCATTAATTTTCATGACAAATTTAGATTTCTTTACAGCTTTTAGCCTTTTTTAAAAAACCCAACTCTCACACTGTGTGGCTAAATGAACATGTAAATAACATGTAAGTACTTTCTATTAGCCCGAGTTGCAATATAAACAAGCATATTTGTTCTTTAATGGGCCAAAAAGGCATTTTAATTTCTTAGAGGAAAAATCAGTTGCCTGTTTAAATAAGATGTATCAAATAAAGAGCTACATTGAAAGTAAGAGGCGACTGGCTATTCAGCACAATGAGTCATGCATAATGATGCTACAACATTTTGGTACAAATGAAGAAGCAGCACATGCACGACTACCGATTTCGCGTTCGGAGCAAAAATCTGCTGATTCCAATCTTGGCTGAATTGTGCATCTATTCAATATAAGACAAAAGGTTTGTGCATCTGTATTCAGTTAATCACCACACAATACTATACATGTGTCCTAGATTTGATGTCTCGGGCATATATACTATTGTGCAAAAGCTATAGGCATCTGATAAAATGCTGTTTAAAGTGTTTGTTTGTGCAGGAAAACACTAATTTCACTAACAATAAGAATCAACAACTGATATAATACAAAAAGTATTGATTTCATGTTTGTCAGTGAGTTAGTTTAACTATTTCTAAACCTCCTTTCTTAACAGCCCACTATTACTTGTAGTTACCATGCAATACCTGGTGCAATTAATCAAAACTTCATTAAATTAAATACATGGAATTTTAAAGGGTCCATATCCTACATTTTTCTTGTATTTCACAGTTTTCCTTGATGTCCATTTAAGATGTGTGTGTGGTTTAATGTAAGGACAGTCATAATTCATTTGTTTAATTTGTTCACTGTTTCAATGTTTGTGAATTATGAAATTCATTAAACAGGCAACTGATTTTTCACAGTTTCACAGATTTGTTCACTGTTTCAATGTTTGTGAATTATGAAATTCATTAAACAGGCAACTGATTTTTCACAGTTTTCCTTGATGTCCATTTAAGATGTGTGTGTGGTTTAATGTAAGGACAGTCATAATTCATTTGTACATGACCATTTTCCAAACTCTCTTTATCCCTTACAAATAAACGGACTGTTTTTGTTACTGCGCCATGAGGACGGACACATGCAAATACAACCTTTAAAGAAAAGTCACATGTAAAGTGTCTACAAAACACATGTTCACAAATAAACACGTGAATAATTTGTGATCATGAGACATGAAACAGCACATATGATCACTTTCTTCATATGTAAGAGAAAATTAACACATGAGGTGTGAAAAATACGTCAATGTTTTTATTCACATTTGAAATTCATGTTTTTTTTTTCTGTAAGGGAACAGAGCTGAGTGGCTGCACTGTATTGGGCCTCTTTTAAAAAGTGAGTCTGGGTTGAATTCTTATAACTTCAGTGTGAATGGGTGGAGATGAAATGCTTTAGGCTGAATAAGCAAATGTATGACATCACAAAAACAATTAATTTAAATTGGGCTGTTTTCGCTGCTTAATTTCCATACAGGAACCATATGGACTGGAGTGAAACTTAAACAATGTGTACATACCACATCAAACTTAATTAGTTAAAAAAAGTGAGGCTAATTCAATTTTCCATTATATGGGCCATGGGTGGGGGGGTGAGGAGAACTATTGAACCGAACCTGTGGTCTTTAACCCCTTAATTGGCCAGGGCCCACTGATGGGGCCAAAGTTTTATTATACACTTCTATAACCTACACTGTAAAAATTGGCTCGTCAGATCAACCTAAAAAATTACTTCATGTAGTAACAAGCAATTGAACTAATTTAACTAAAAAAATGACTTTGATCGAAAGAATCGTTCATTCAGTATTTATTTAGGTTGAATAAAACTAGTTAATTTACTTGGTACCACATGAAATATTTTGTTAGGTTGAATTGATGAGCCATTTTTTTTACAGGGTAAGAATAGTTTAACCAGTTTGCACTGAAGCCCCTATAGTTACTGAATAATAAGCCTTAGCATGTAATAAGCCTTTTTGGATTTTAAGGGGTTAAACAAGCTCACAAGATATTAAATGCCTTTTAAAACAAGGAATTTCTGTTTTTATACTGCATTTGTGTTTGTTTGCATTTATTCTAATGTTCCACGATGACTTTTACAAGTAAAAATGCACTTACTGCTGAGATCATTGGTTGTAAATGATTTATTTGGGTACCTATGGCTCAGTAGTCTATGTACAGAATTACAGGAGTTCTTTATGTCAGGAACTTCAGTTCTGGAGGGCCAGATTCCCACAGAGCTTGGTGATTTTTCTTCTCAAGCGCACTTGATTCAGCTCATCAGCTAATTACCAGGCTTAGTTGTGCTACAGCAGGGAAATCACCAAACTGTGCTGGACTCCAGCCCTCAGTTCCTCACTCCTGCTCTATGTAGTAAACGAGATGCTCGGCAATGCATACTGCAAGACAGTCATGACAAGTTGACATGTAGTGTGCAATGTGACTACACTGCAGACATGTGAACACACACACACACACACACAAAGCTCTTTCAACTTGTCTGTAAACGGCTCCTTCCAGTGGACAAGCTCAGATTGCATCACTACAGAATTATTCAAACTTTAGTATCAAGTGCAAGAGCACAGAAACAAGCCTGCAAAGTTGTACCAAACTGCATTCAATCACCACTACATCCTGAGCAGGCATTATGTTTGTGATATTGATTGTACCTTTGTCAGAACCTGTTTAATATATATTTTCCCATCTCCAGTTGAATATAAAACAGCCACTTTCACATGTTCCTAGCTGTCAATTCTCTGACTGAATACCCATGCACACCAGTAAAATCCACGTACTGATAAGTGGGGAAGAGCTGCTGACTGAAAGGAGATGCCACTTTGTTTAATAACAAATATAATTTATCGCACTGACCCTTTGAACCCAAACAACGCAGCAGCCTCCAGTAGAGCTTTATGTGCCGTTTCAGCTCACGCTTCTCACATTTTTATTCTCTCACTTTAATACACTCTACCAGACTATCGATTATATATAACTGATAAGAGATCACTTGCCACCTTAGCAACAGACGGTTCTCACAGCCCACACGTGCATTTGTAATGTTACCCTGAGTTGCATATAAAACATTAATGGCAGCGGGATTCTTTGGGAGCTGGTGATGAAATTATGGTGTAACCTTTATCAATGTACCAGCAAACCAGCTATGTGCTGCTGGATATCACACCGCAGCTACAACAGGCTACTCTTATTAATGCTACAGTAATGTCAGAAAAAGGCAGAGAACTCTACATTCAGCAATTAGATACAATTTGTGTGATTTGTTGACAACAGATGTTCATACTATTGCATTTTGTAAATACGTTCCCTTTTAAAAGCATGCCTGAATAAAGGCTACAGTAAGTAATATTAGTATATTAATAATATCTGGCTGTGGAGATAAATATCTATTGTGCTTTGTTTGTAGGATGCATGCTGTATTTATAGGCCAATGGAAATTTCTTTACCAACTCAAGTTCTAAATATGTACATTACTACGGTAAATATGGTTTAACAGGTGTTCTGTGACTGATTCCAGATCCATTTACTGGTTTCTAAAAGAGATCTAAAGGTGGGTGTCCTACAGAAAACTAGTGGTCTCTAATAGTAACTATTAAGCCAACTCAGATTAGACAGCAAGACTATCTGGCTGTAATCCTAAAGGTTGTAATAGTTGTTTTTTTTTCAGCAAGGATATTAGATCATAATATAATATCATAATATTAGAACAACGTTTGGACATTCACTTTGTACAGTAAATAATAAGTACAGAATAATTGGAAAGTGTAATAAGTATATAAGTATAACAAACTTTATATCTCTATTTTTGTTGTTTTTCGGTTATTGAGATAATCTGAAAATACCTCTTGCCCTTTACACAGTGTGTTAAAACTTCATGATAAATGGACCAACAGTCTAGTTCCATTGACTTACATTACATATAAAGTATGTTTTTTTCTTTCTCCTGTAAAGTTAGCATTTTGGAGATACATGGTTTTGTTCCGACAGCAGCGATATAATAATGTAATAAACAAGAATAAGTAATACATTGATTTGGAAATGGGACAACAAAGTTCAGAGTGGATTACTTATTTATCCATTATAAGACAGGCAGATGAATGAATGAATGAATGAATGAATGAATGAATGGATGTGAAAACTGGGGAGTCCCCCAGCAACAACAGTGGAAAACACATTGGACACAGTTGTTCACTTTTACTACTGCAGCAACGGGGAATTCAGGTTTCACTCAGATTTCACTGTGAAATCATCAGCAAACTATGAAGTGCTGCCACCGCCTCACTGACTACAGACAGCACATTCACTCAACATAGGACACAAACATCCTGACATTATTCTTTGTTTTGTGGGACTCTCTAAGATTAATAACTGTCTAACAGTTTAATATGAGTATCCTAATTTGTAAAAAAATATCAGTTACAATCAGAACAACCTCAACTATCTACATAACACACACTGTAACCTACCCGTCAGTCTGGGCTGTCTGTCAGAGGGGGAACGAAAACAAGCTAACGCCAAAAAAAAAAAAAAAAAAACAACGTCTTAAACGTCATGTGGAGTAAAATCTACAGACTAAAGAATAATTTTGCCCAGAGTGACACTCATTAGCCCCACAGCGTGGGCTGTAACCGGCTCTGGACATGTGTGGCAACAAAGTTTGAACATGGGCAAGACTCCAGTAGATCTGATGCAACAGGGCTGCAACAAGGGGTACAGCTCCAAAATGTAAAAATAGTGTCCTTCCTCGTCGTTAGCGATGAACTAGTCCTTTAAAAGTCTCGTGGCTTTTGCGGAGCGTGTCACTTTCCTGAACACGGTCGTTAAAATTCAGTGGAGAGTGGCTCCTTTAAAATAAATTCGTGATATAAGCAAAACAAGCAGAAAAAAAAGGAAAACCAGAAACGCTCACGAAACGTTTCTCGTGTAGCCGTCAGACATTAAGCTGTAAATGTGGTCAAAAGACTTTGTGGGTCGCGCTGTAATGTTTATGGCCGCGATAAGAGCAGCAGCCCGGTGGAAGTTTATAACGGCTCATTAAAGAGTACGTTACACAGGGAGGACGCCGCGGAGTGATACGAGTGTGTGTGACGAGGCTGCTGTTTGAAGAGGCGTTTTGCTCCCCGGTCCCCAAAAAACTTTTCTAAACGTTTTTATTGCGGATCCGATCACATTGCGACATCAAATGGTTGTGACCGAAGCCGGAGGAAGAGATGCTCCACTAATCTGAAACTATTCATTTCGCTGTCGGAGTTTTCTGCGTCGACAACGCACTTCAGTCAGTCCTTCAAAATGGAGTAAGTGTCAACTTTCATTCAGCAGGCTGCTCTTCCAGAAACGCACTGTTGTGGTGGGATTGCTTTGTTTTGCTCTTAGGCTTAGAAGACGAACGAGAACTTTTATTTTGTAAATGTTTTTACTCTGGTTAAATCTTTTCAGCATTAGCAGTGAGTTGAGTTTACGTTGTTAAGTCCTTTAATGTTAGTGGACTAAGTTAATTCCTACCTTCAGTTATTTAAGTAACTGCCTACACAACACAGTTTTCTTCAAGTTTCTCATTTCATTGTTTTTACTCGAGTGTTGTCGTGTTTGTGTGCTTATTTATTCAGCTGGCAACTAGCAGCTCAGTAACCATGTGACTGGCTTCAGATTCATATTTGGCACAGATGTTGAACAGATGAAGGGGATGAGTGAATGAATGATGAGTAACCTGCTGGACTCGCTCATACTGCAAAATAACAATGAGTGAAGTTTAGATTTTAGATTTAATCCACAGTAATAAAACTGTGACAGTTATTTAGACTGTTTAAAAAGTGTTTATGTAGAATTCATCTTAAAAAACTGGACTTTGCTGCTGCTGGTTACTTTTCTCCAGAATTATTTGGATTCAGGTGAGCACTGATGAGACTGAACACTGCAAAGGTGTAGGTGCAGGTATTCAGTCATGGGGCATTTTCAGAATTTGACTGAGATTTATAGTAGTAATTTGGAGGGACCAATACAATAACTTTATAATTTGGGTGCAAATTGAGTTTGATTTAAAAAATTTTAAATGTTTAAATTTTTGTTTTTGTCTCTTAGGTTTCACCTTTTCTCATCATTGTGCTGTGTGACGCATTTCTCATATTCTGACGCATTGTTCGCAATTCAGCATTTCAACCAAAACAGTGAACATCCAGGCGGCATAGATCCTTCTCAGGAAAATTCTCCTCATTTGCACAGTCGACCTCAGAATTTTCTCTTTCCTACTGGCTAACGACGGCCAATCCTAGAAAAGAGGGGAGGAGTTAACACGGACATAGGACATAATTGGTAAGCAGCGAGATGTTTTTTTTATTTTACCCGATTGTCGGTGGAAGCCGCACTGCAGTATACGTGTTAATGGCGTACAGTAAGTAAAGCCATTGGCTTTTTTTTTGGTGTATGTTTTTATCTTTGGGAATGAATGCTTTTCTACAAAAACGATAGATTTACTGTTCAGCGTAATCCAATGTATGCAGTAAATAAATTAGTGTGCATGAATGCCATAGAAATGGTTTTACCTTACTTTATACTTGACATGTTTTTCCTTTTTCTAACAGATTGGATGACAGAAAATTTTGACATCTACCCACACACGACCTCAACTGAATCGTCTCCTGGTTCATCTATCCCGCCTTCACCCTTGGAGCACGATGTCCAGGTGCCCTCCGACTTGGAGGTAATGACCTCTCTCCTAAAAGAGGAACTTGCTCAACTTGAGGATTATTACCTATTCGAATCGACACCAATGAAAGTGGAGAAATGGCAAAAATGTGACAAAGGCTTACAAGCTATGGCTGCTCAGTCGTACTACCAGTTCCCCTGTACTTCGTACAACGTAAACCAATCCGAAACGAACCCCAGGCTTGTTACCCTAGCAACAGGGGAGCTCGACCTGAGAGGCTTCTGTGGGGGCTCGATTGGCAGACCAAAAACGTCTAGACCTGCCCCTTACAGCTATGTTCGGACCCACTCCAGTAGCCAAAGGATCGCATCAAATGGATGCAAAGACGTAGAAGTCTTTGAGAAAGAAACATGGACTTTCAAAGGGACTCATTCAGGTTACGCAGAGATGGCTTTTGACCAGTGCTCTGTTGACAAATTTTTTGGGAAGAACCATGCCAGTGCAAAGAAGGTCAGAGAATGTGCTATATTGCTAAAGGAAGAAGAAAAAAACTGTTTTACGGAAGATGTTTTTTACAGAGCAGAGATGATGAAAAGTTTTGATAATGGTGCACCTGTGGACACTCACCACAAGAGAGAAAGCCAGGTTCATGGAATGAAGATGGGTGGTCATGGTCATGATGGTGTCGCAATGCCAGTAATGCACTGTGGTGAGAATGGAAGCAGTCCAGCATTTAAACATTCAGAAGTAGCTGAATGTTACTTCAATCAGATCACTGCCAATTTAGAGCCATACCATGGCTTTATGAATGAGGTAGATCAATCAGTCAGAACTGGGGCTGTTGATTCCCAGAATAGTGGTTACTCACACCATGAATGCCTTGTAGATCAAAGCTTTGAATGTCTGTCAGGAGACAGTGTCAGATCTTTGGAGTTTCCAGCACAGAAACCAATGCACAGGCCAAGAGAAAACTCATGTGTGTTCAAGCCAGACGTCAAAGTAGGTTCAATGGAAAGAAATCACGGAGAACGCAAACAGAAGAAAAGAGACCAGAACAAGACGGCAGCTTACAGGTATTGTGTGTTGTTTTTTGACGGCGTATTTACAGAAAGGATTACAGATTAGTCAAACTATGAAAACAGTAAATATTTAATGTATAGAATGGGATCTTGTACTCCAGGGAGCATAAGTCGGCAAGTCTCTGTAGAGAAGTGATTATGAATTAATTCTTGGCTTTTTAACAGCCAAGAATATGAAGTGTTTGTAAAAGCTTGCATTGTTTAATTCCATGTACCGTGCTGATATCAACAGCTTAGAATCCAATGGCTTTGGAGGCAAATTTTGTTGAGATGTTGTCCTCAAACTGACAAAAAAATCATCACAATCATGCTGATTTGCACCATCTTTGTCACCATAATAACAACAGGTATCGTCAGCGTAAGAGGGCGGAGCAGGACTGCTTGGAGGAGGAGCTTCATGATTTGGAGGGGCGAAACAGGGAGCTACGAGACAAAGCAGAATCCGTAGAGAGAGAGATACAGTACGTCAAAGACCTCCTAATTGAAGTCTATAAGGCTCGAAGTCAGCGCTTGAAAGAGGATTCCAGTGCCTAAATCTGTTTTCACCACCAGCATTAAAAGATCAGCTCTTTCTGCAAGGACTTTCTAATAGGATCTGGCAGCATGCTTTTGATGTTCCAAGTAGTCGGCGAAGCTCATGAATTTCGTTCCTTTTTTTTTTCTGCTTAATCACTGGAAGAGCAGGCCATACGATGTAACGAAGGACTTTAAATGTCTTGGAGCACTGTGATAATAGCCTTGAGCTGTAACAACTCTATTCTAACAATAGCATTAAAGAGATTATGCATTCTATGAACCATTATGATTCCGTTGAGTTTTCAACTTTATATTACATTGCTCTGTGCGAGTGAAATTGTTTGTACCAAAACAAGAGGAACAACCAGCTACTCTACATATGCTAGCTCTGAAATGTATTTATTGTGATCATGCTAAAGGGTGGGGCGTGGTACAGCTTAGTAATACTTTTGACAAGATAACAGCAAGTTATTGTTAATTTTGTATGCTGTAACTATAAAGAGCACTGTAATGTTGAGTGGCCGATCACGTCATTTGCTTATTTCATTACCTTTTTTGTATGTTCACATTTTATTTTATGTCACATTCATATTCTTGTACATACTTTTTGATTGTAGCTTATGTACTAACGTAGGATGCAGGAGACCTTTTTCAATAACAAAAGCTTTTTTCAATAACATTGAAAATACTGTACATTATCAACCAATGTACTGTGGTTTATAGCACATGAGTAAGATTATAGACTTCTTGGTGACTTCACTGGCTCAGGTACTGAATGCATGTCCGAAATACTGAAAAGCATGTTGGGTTACGAATTAACTGCATGACCCAGTATATGACTGCTTTGTGCATTATGATAGCAAGTAGACTTTATTTCTGCCTTCAATCCTCTTATTGTTATTTACTTGATAACATCATGCACCAAAAAATATTTGCTTAATTTCTGAGGCATGGAACTGCATCAGTTAGTCAGTATGAGGGATTTGTTTGCTTTCTTGTGCAGGTTTGCGGCAAACAATCACTGTCATTTGCTAAAGAAAAAAAAACCCTGTAGGCCTAATGTCATTTATATCTTTAAATATTCAGGTGCACATTAGGCCTACTTTATAAATAAGCCATGCCTAACAAAACTGATTGCAACATGAGCTCATGCACAGTTATTTCTGCAGGAAAGTCTGTGTGTGGTAACATGTATGTGTATTGGAATCAAATGGCACAATAAACGCAAACCAAATTAAGCTGTTGCATTTTTATATGCTGATATTAAAAAATGTACATATTATGAATGTTGATAATTGCTCAGAATGACTGGTGAGCGACCCTGATTGGTGTTTTTATGATTTTGTTTTTGATATCTACACGTTATCATAAGTCTAGAGGCGCACTAAGAAGACTCGCTCCAAAGCCATAAAACAAAATTGACTAAATATAAAAGTCATAAATCCCCGTTTTATGGTAATCAGACATTTTTATTTAATTTACTAGGTAAGGAAACTGTAGTAGGTGAATTCATATTGCCTTTGTCTTTGTTCGCACAGAGACGACTCATAAAAGATTCAAATGAAACCAGGTGAGCAACAGAGCAGTTGTTATACAATGAAAATACAATATTATTTACAATGATGTTTGTTGTGTATGAGCAGCCTGGCCTATCATTAGCCTGTTAACTGTATTTTGAAAAATCTTAACCTTTTTTCACTGCCTAGAGCAATAACTTAGGTGTTTCCAGAGACTACTGGAAATTGAGCCGTAAATGTTATTTAATGGTATTTATTATAAAGTTATTATAAAGTTGTATACAAAAGTTTGGGCACCCCAGTCAAATGATATGCTTTGTTGATGTTCTAAGTGAAAATAAGTCACACATCCTCTACAGAGAACACACTTTTGCACAGTTAAATGCACAATTACTGTTTATTTGGTGAATTTCATAAATTAGGGGGAAAAACAAAATATGTGGCCTGTCAAATGTTAAAAGCACATTTTAAATTTTATGTATTTTTTCCAACAAATATTTCCAGCAAATGTTCAGAAAATGTTGCACTAAAATTTGCCAAATTGAAGTGTTTCCTGTAGAACATGCCTGAACTTGTTTTTGACTGTTAGTTAAATTAAGAGGAAGGGCCTTCTGCAAAGCACAGTGCCACCTCATGATGGCACCAGAGACAACTGAAGAGCATTATACGTTTTTTTTTTTTTTGCTGTGGAGAATATTAAGTGTAATGTTTATAAGTTTTGTAGATAAAATTTAGATTGGCATGTTTGTCATAACAGTCACCACAAGAAGGCACAATAATTATATGCCATGTACAAGTCTTAAATGTATATATACACACACAAACATGCACACACATTATGCTTTTAATGGTCTTAAAACAAAGTAACTTAGTATGGGGCAACTTTTCCTTTTCATTTCTTTAAATGTTGCAGTTTTGTGGGTAAACTTGCAGAAACACTGATGGCTTCAAACAACTGAAATACATTGCCAAGCTAGTTTAATGACACACCAAATATTCTCCATAGGGTTTAAATCTGGACCAGGCTAAAACCCTCAGTAAAATCCATTAAATTTTATAATACTTATGTAAGTTTTTATTTTTTTTATGTCTGTGTGTATATATATACACGCACAGACACACATCTTATACACAATATATATTTACAAAGACTGCACAATACATTGCTTGTTAATTGTAGTTATGGCTTTTGCAATATTGATATCTATGCAAATGAACCCTCTTTTTATTTTGTGCTGTAACCAATCACAGTTTTAGTTGAGTGTTTTGTAGGTGTTTTGATGAATCAAAGCATTTTTATGAAAAATTTAAATAATTCTGGTCCAAAAACATTGCAGTCCAGTTTTTCACCGTATCACATCAAAAGCTTGAACAAAACGTTGCTAGGCACGATCGCAACATGTAGCAATACAGTAGCAACATTTGGTCTGTCTTGCAACCTTAAACAAGTAACCCAGCTCACTTCACCACACACTGAATTTGAGCATATAGGTAGACATTAATGTCAATACCTTTTAGTTTGGAATACTGAATGTTTTATTAATATATAGCACATTTCCTTCACTGAATAGTCATTACAGCACTACTGCAGTTACAGTGGAGCGAGGTAAACTGGGTGGGATAAGGCTTGAGCATCTCAGCGCTTTAAAAGGTTTAGTAATTCCATAATATTGCCATAACAGTGTTTGGCCTGTTGTAAATGATTTGATTGGTCCAAGGTCGCTAAGGTGAGTGGGGTGTTGCCTTTTTCGGAGAATGAAGAAAACACCTCGGTCAGTGTTCTGAAGCACTAAACTGTTCTAACAATAGCATCAGAATTTTTCATTACACGTAATTTTCATACTTTTATTCACCATCAGTGGAAATTTTAATATCGGATGCGGACATTAATGGATTAATAATAAACAAATAAGTACGAGTAATGGTTCAAGGCGAATGTGTTCATGGTTTCTACATTACGTGCTTAAAATAACAAATGCTTAGATTTGCAAAAACAAGTTATTTAATAGTTGTTTTCTATTAAAAAGTGTTGAAAATATTAATAAACGAATGCAAATTCACACTTGGATATTTCATACATAAAACATTCCTAACTGCGCGCACACACACACACACACACACTTAAAACTGTACACACACATTCTCTCTTTCTCCTTCTCTCTCACACACACCCTCACGCTGAAAAGGAGGGAGGAGCTGAGAGCAGTTTGTAGAAGCAAGAATGCTGTTATATTAAACAAGCCTATTTATTACACACAGTGACAGGAAAAAAACAAGCACAGAGGAGAGAAGAAGAGAAGAAAGGGAGATAAAAGGGATATCAGAGAAAGAACTATAATCAGTGGATATGTGAGATATTGTATCGTAAGACTCAAAAATACACCATATACACCCACACACAATTAATCAATCAATCACTCAATCAATTAAGTTAGTTTCTTGTTGTGCTGTTTTCAAATAAGAATATAAAGAGAGAATTGTTTGTTACTTTGTTCAGAATGAAGGTTTTGCTGTTTAGTTTCACTGGCACATTTGGCCTTTTACACATGTACAGTGTGTACAGTCTTGTACAAAAGTCTGGACACCCCTGGTGAAATTACATTACAAAAAAAATACAAAATATATGAAGTGGCCTGTGCAAAAGTTATGGTACATTTTTATGTTTTTTTTTCCAGCATGTTAAACTCAGCAAATTAATAGAAACTATGCACTAAAATCAGTAGATACAATGCTGTATTTATTTCCTGTAGAGAATGGGTTAACTTATTTTTTTGATCAGGGGTTTACACATGAAGATACTTGTGACCCTTAAATAGCTGTAATTTTATACATGTAAGAAACATAAAATCTGATCAGTCAGCCTCAGTTCGCCTTGTGGTGAAATCAGAGTATCAAAGAGAGCGTCACATATTAGTCTCAGAGAGTGCATCATACATTAGAATCATACAGGGAAGACGCCCCTCCTCTATTTTCTCTCCTGATCAAATGATGGGACCAAATCTAATCTTGACACATTAACTAAACGGCTGATCTAATTCATTATGATATTCCATCTGAGTCACTGTGTTTTTAGTCATCTGTAATAGTAATCTCTACAGCTATTATATTCAATGGTACAAGAGCATGACTACGTGGGAGGGGGAGGGTCTTGTGGAGAGAGTAATTCATTTGGTTTTGAGAGATAATGTTAGACTTTTGGTGCGAGCAGCAAAACACCCCCTTTTGTATTTTATCCCAGAAATATTAGGTAGATTTTCATCATTAAGACACACAGTGGAGTTTCTCTGGCAAGCTAGCAGCAGCGCTGTGTGCTAACTAGAGCAATCATTAGCACCACTAAGACGTTTGGCTAGATTTAGTAAAGATTTTAAAGGAGATGAGTTTGTATGTGAGTTTTCCAGTCAGACACAGATACACACACACACACACACACACACCTTCTAAACCACTTATGTTTCTGGGTCGTGGGGGGAGCTGGAGCCTATCCCAGCAATCATCGGGTGGAAGGAAGGATACACCCTGGACAGGTCGACACAGATACAGCCACACCTAATTTGTTGTATGTACAATGTTTGCTAATAATTTGCAGTAATTTTCAATTCGTTTTGTTATCATTATTATTATTTACATGATTGAAAATTATGTAACAAATGAGCAGAACTGAATCTATTTCACACAGTGGACGTTGCTATGTTACTGTGATCGATGTATTTTAACAAAGTGTAATTCATACATTTATCAAGGCCCTTAATTTTCATTTAAAATATCATAATTAATGTTGCAATTTTGAGTGACATATTTCAGAAGTATAATCAAATACAGAAGAGAGAACCCAAATACAGAAGAGAGAATGCAAATACAGAAAAGAGAACGCAAATACAGGAGAGAACCCAAATACAGAAGAGAGAACCCAAATACAGGAGAGAGAACGCAAATACAGAAGAGAGAACCCAAATACAGAAGAGAGAATGCAAATACAGGAGAGAACCCAAATACAGAAGAGAGAAAGCAAATACAGAAGAGAGAACGCAAATACAGGAGAGAACCCAAATACAGAAGAGAGAACCCAAATACAGAAGAGAGAACCCAAATACAGGAGAGAACCCTAATACAGAAGAGAGAACCCAAATACAGAAGAGAGAACGCAAATACAGAAGAGAGAACCCAAGTACAGAAGAGAGAACCCAAATACAGAAGAGAGAACGCAAATACAGAAGAGAGAACCCAAATACAGAAGAGAGAACCCAAATACAGAAGAGAGAACGCAAATACAGAAGAGAGAACCCAAATACAGAAGAGAGAACGCAAATACAGGAGAGAACCCAAATACAGAAGAGAGAACCCAAATACAGAAGAGAGAATGCAAATACAGAAGAGAGAACCCAAATACAGGAGAGAGAACCCAAATACAGGAGAGAACCCAAATACAGAAGAGAGAACGCAAATACAGAAGAGAGAACGCAAATACAGGAGAGAACCCAAATACAGAAGAGAGAACCCAAATACAGAAGAGAGAACGCAAATACAGAAGAGAGAACCCAAATACAGAAGAGAGAACCCAAATACAGGAGAGAACCCAAATACAGAAGAGAGAACCCAAATACATTACTGGAAATTAAAGATTTAAAACACACTGCATTTGTAGAAAAGATAAAAACTCACAGCACTGAAATATTATGAAACAAATTTGCTGGTAAATGTTTACTGACGATTCTACGGCT